CGGCGGAAATGACAAAAATGCGAATCAAGCCGAAGTGCCCAACCACGACTGCGAACGAATAGAAGAAAAGGCCATGGTGCCAGAAGCAAAGAGCCCAAATCGCCAGTGACTACAAGATCGCTAATGAAAGAAGATGTAGAAAACACAGTGGTCACCGTGTACGCGGCGCCACTGGAACAGTCCGCCTGATGCAGCGCCCTCTGCTATGCACAGGGGCACTTGCAGGGGATACGCTATACCACACCTGCGCCTCAGCGCGAGGCCGGCCCTTGCAGTCTAGATAGGCAGACATGGCTGCGCCACCGAGTAGAACCTGCTATCTCGTCTTCCACTGCAAGCCTTACTGGCTCTTCTTCGCGCTGCCTTTCCTGGGCAGGCCCGCCAGCCTCCTTGCCTCGCGATCGCCCTCCGCAAGCCACTGGCTCGCCGTCTTCATCTGTACTCCATTGATCCATTGCTTAATGAGCATAAATGGCAGCGACACCACCATGAAGATCCAAGGAACCGTAGAGTCCATCTTGTTGGCACGCGCCATCTCCATGGCGGCAGCCGAGAAAGGACTGGCAAAGAACAGAGACGGTTCCGGGGCGGCGGGCGAGCCGGGCTTGAGGGAAGAAGGGTTCTTCGGGTCCGAGAAGAGAGTGGGCGAGAGGTAGGGGGAGCTGAAAGACAGGAGGTAAAGGGCGATGAAGAAGATTTCGTTCATGGCGCAGAGGGTAAAGAGGACTTTCTACAGTGTTATCAGCATGTGCGCTATTCAAGTTGCTGCGATGCACCATGTGCGAGGATGCAGACGTACGTTGTTCGAGTAGTACTGCTTCAGCAGCCAGTTCCTGCTCTCGTCGACGTTCTTGTGGCTACGAGAGCTGCCGCCCATACTCAAGGTGGCATACATGTGCATGTAGTGGCTGGCCAAGTCGAGAGAAATCAACAGCTGGAACACGATGCTCCACCGGGGGAAAGCCTGTGCCAGGAAGACGAGCAGGCAGGTTGTTGTGCACCTGTCCGTGACCATGTCCAAGACGGCGCCAAACTTGGTGCTCTGTTCGTACTTGCGGGCTGCGTAGCCATCGAGCGCATCGAGAAGACAGGATATGCTGTAGAGGAGGGTGCATGTGCGCGGGTGCAGAGGCATGTAATAGAGCGATGTCAAGGCGAGGAAAACGCGCGAGTAGCCTATCCGTCCGTTAGCCGGCGAGCAGAAGTCGTGTGGCAACAGGCGCCATACCGATCAAGTTTGGGATAAAGAGGAATATGTTTTCCTTGGAGCCCTCGTGCTCTGACTGTGGGGGCCGTACTGCCGTGCCGTTGCCATTGGGTTGCTGCTGAACGGATGCCATGGTGGAGAGGAGAGTTTCTGGCGCGCAGTCGTCTGCTGTGATAGCAGGCGCGATATCTCGTCCGTTTGGTGATCTAATGGTCCAGGATTACCCCGCCGTGCTTACTCGAGGGCGAACCAGGAGCGTGGGCGTGCGCTGCTTACACCCTGACGTACTAGGCGGCAGAGCTGGGGGGGCAGAGTCAACGGAGGGCGGCTCTTAATTGGGCGGGCGTGAGTGCGCTCCGATGCAGAGAGGCGGGAAAAGACGCGTTGATGGGTGAGCGACGTGTGTTGGAGACTGGCGGCAGCTGTCCAAGCTGTGCGGGCCCAGACCAGAAAGTTGTCGAATGTTCAAGTCGCCGCCGATAAGCCGATAACGAACCTCAGGGCTGCACGCGCTACAAGGGTCGGACTAAGTAGCGGCGTGCAAAGTGCCGCCGAACAAGAGCAATGTCGGGATGCGCAGGTGTTTGTGGCAAAGGCGAGGCGAGGGAGAGACTGAGAGGAAGCGGGAGTCGAAGGCGGTGCTGCCTGGAAATTGAGGGCCAGAAATCTTTCGCATGCCGTCCGCCAGCTCCCGGTTATCCGCCTAGGCCAGAAAGGGGCTTGCTTGGCATATGAAGTCAACTGCACATCAGACCCCATAAGCAGCTCCATGGGCCCTGTGCACGCAGGAGCCTTGTTATTGCATACATACATATGATATATGCACCGTTTTGCACTCGTCATGTCCATCCATCCATCCACACATACATACAGCAACTACTTGGCTACTCCTTGAAGCCCTTGAAGCTCGACTTGGCCGCAATCTTCTTGGACTTGTTCTTCAGCTTGGCCTGCTTTTCCTTTGCCTTGCCCGTACTCAGCCCACGATCCGCCTTGCCCTTCTTCCACTGCTTGCCTTCTGTGCGCACGTCCTTCGCCTCGAGCTTCTTCTTGTCCTTGCCGCTGAGCTTCTTCTTCTTATCCTTGCCCTTTCCTGCTCCTCCAGAGGGCCCGTTAAGCGCTGCTGCACCCCTCTCCTTCTCAGCCAACTTCTCCTTTTCTGTTTGAAACCATGTGCGTTTCGGCCGAGACTTGATCTCATCTTCGTGAACAATCAGGTTCTCGCCGCGCTTGAGGTCACGCTCTGTGACACTCATGGCGCGCTCCTCTTTTTCCTCTGCCAGAACCTCCTCGATCTCGCCTTCCAGGCTCTTGAGCTTCTTCATCCACCTATCCGTCTCCTCTGCTGGGACTTGACGGCTAACCACCTTGGCTCCTTGCTCACGCGACGCCTTGACGGCTTGCTTGACTACTTTACGATCCGGCTCGGCTGCCAGCGTACACGCGCGACCGCTCCTTCCAGCACGAGCCGTACGACCAACACGATGCAGGTAAATCTCATGACTCTGCGGTGCTTCGTAGTTGATGACTGTTGACACGTTCTTGATGTCGAGGCCACGCGAGGCAACGTCAGTAGCAAGCAAATAAGCTGATTTGCCCGAACGGAATGCTTCGACGGCTTGAATACGCTAATAAATCCTTAATATTTTGCTGTATCCACAACTAAGAAAAGACTTACCTGTTCTTGACTCATGTTACCGTGGAGCTCGCTCGCCTTGAGTCCACAGAGTGCGAATACGACTCGCACCCTATGTGCCTCCTTCTTTTGCCGGAAGAACACAATGACTTTTTCCGTGTAGATCTTTTCACAGATGTACATGAGGTAGGCGAGCCTCTTGTCTTCCTTGCCTTGCCTGAGTCGAACAAATTCTTGGGTCAGTCCCTTGACGGTGTGCTTCTTGGCATCCACCATTAACCGCACAGGCTTGTCCATACCAATGCGAATCAGCTTGTCGACTGAGCTCGTCATGGTGGCGGAGAAAAGCATCGTCTGGCGTGACTTTGGAATGGTGGTCAAGATCTCGTTGAGTTGAGTCTCGAAACCCTCCTCGAGCATGCGATCGGCCTCATCAAGGACAAGGATTTCAAGATGCTCGACCTGGAAGGCGGCCGTGTTGTGCATGTGGTCAATGAAACGACCAGGTGTCGCAATGACGACGTCTGGTCTGGTCTTCAACACAGCTTCCTGCTCGCGTGATGAGAAACCACCAGCCATCAACGCAAAAGTGATGTCGGTGAATGATGCAAGCTTCGTAGCAACATTAAAACATTGCACCGCCAACTCACGCGTGGGCATAAAGATGGCAACACGCGTAGTTGGAACCTTCTTTGGGCGGTATAGGAGACGCTCAAGGATGGGAATGAGGAAAGCAGCCGTTTTACCGGAACCAGTCTCGGCTCCACCAACGACGTCCTTTCCTTGCATAGCAATGGGGACCGCCTTGCTCTGGATCGGAGTCGGTTCAGTAAAGCCCACGGAGGCCAGACCGCGGAGAATGGGTCGTGAGAGAGACATGGCCTGGAATGAACCCGTGCCAGCTTTTGTACCTTTCTTCTTCTTTACAGTCACACTGTCTTCCGACGCAAAAAAGGCGGCAGCCTTCTCAGCTTCGACAGCGTCCTCTTGTTCGCTCTCGTCCTCGTCTTCACTCTCAGCGCCCTCGAGGTCCATAGGGTGTGGAACGTGAGGCACCTCGGCTTCTTCCTCATCATCGTCCTCTGATCCACTCTCCTCGCCCGCGTGCTTGTGCTTGGGTTTGTCTTCGTCATCGGAAATCTCTTCGTTGTCGTCTTCTTCATCCTCAGAATCGCTAGGGGCGCCCATGCCGAAACCATCTTCCGCCATGAGCTCGTCATCATCACCAAAACCCTCAAAGTCACCAATTTCAGAGGTATCAGATGATTCGAGCTCGACCACTTTCTGCGCACTCTTCTTGTTCCGTCTGCGCTCAATGATTTCGTCGACATCTACCGCAGTGCTCTTCTTTCCCGATTCCTGGGCGACTGTACCATTGTCGTTCCCCCAACCGTCGAATTCCTCTACAAAGCCGGTGTCTATGTCGCCGACAGCAAACTCGAAATCACTGGCGATATCGTCGTTTTGGTCTACGTCCTCGCCGGGCTGGGGCATTTCTTGGTCGGCCTCGTCATCTTCGAGCTCAGGTTCCGGCTCGGTCTTGTTTCCTTTCTTTCCCTTCTTCTTGTCCTTCTTTGCCTTCTTCGAGGCGACTTCCTTGGGTCTGACATTCAGGTCTGGGTCCTCTGTGTATTTCCTCTTCTTGCCAGCGCCTGCTAGTTTCGCGCTCGCCGCAGCGGCCTCGTCGGCGCCACCGTCGTCGGACACATCGTCGTGGTCGGAGATGGTGAAGATGAAATCATCGTCAAGATTTGGCGCCATGGCTCTGGCGGCAGGAATTGCAAGGGAACTGTCGCGTGTGTATTGTCTGGATTTCGCCAGTCGCAAGAGGTCGCAGAAAAAAGTTGGGACCCAGGATCTGTGCTGACGGACCCCTGCAAGCCGGAGTGGGGCCCGACCTCCGCTGCCACTAGTAGTACTTACGTAGGCGAAGGCTCCAGAGACGCTCCTCTTGCATCATGCCACGACAACTCTCTCTTCAATGGCACCCAACACTATTGTCAAAGAGAAGAATTTACAACTGCCTTGAACTGAAACCTTGAATATTATCACGAATCACCCAATGGTCTTGTGCTCAACTACACGTTACCTGCACTGTACTTCGCCGCATCGAGGAACCAGGCGCACATAATACTCCATACTCCATACTTCATACTCCACTATTAGAGAAGCAGCCTGTGAGTCACGATTTTTGAAACTGGGCCAAATAAACGGCTATCTCGTTCAAGCTGCCTTGCACCTTCACCACCGCCGGCCGGACACGAGCCTTTACCTCGTCTAACCAGCCATTCTGTGGTTTATATGCCTTCATGCTCTTGAACTCAACTCCTCTGACCATTTTATAGTGGCTGATTGCACAGACCTCGTTTTTCTACATTTACAATCATGGCCCGTACAAGACTAGGTCATAAAGCGGATACAACCGCCTCATCCAACACACGTAGCTTGCGTTCCCACACCAAAGAGGCACCAAAAGCAGCAACAGCAGCAATAGAAGCAGCAGCAGCCTCTCGCATCACCAGAGTTACCAAGAAGCGCCGAACACCTGCCGACCCAAGTACAAACAAGCGCAAGCCCAGTCCCCAGCCAAGGACGGACAAGCGCAAGTCCAATCCCAAACCAAAGCCATGCAAACCACCTCCTGACCACTTCACCTGTCGTATCTGCATTGAGGTAAAGCCCGCCGATGATTTCATTCAACGAAAACAGCCCACGCGCGGGCAACAGAGGCGTCTCGATGCTCCTCGCCACTGCCTCGCTCATCTAGCTCGTGACCCTACCAAAAAGAACATGGACCCCGTATGCAAATCATGCGTCGGCAACACCATGTCAGCAAAACTCGACACGTTGGGCGCTCGCCAGGTAAGCATAGGGTGCCTCGAACCGGGCTGCACCGAGCCATGGAACCACATGTTCATCATGCGCTACATGCCGCCCGGCGCCCCGCTCGAAAAATACAATGTGGAAACGTTCCAAGTGTGGAAAGAAAGCGCCGAGGCAAAACTCGTGCCATGCCCATCACCAGACTGCAACGATATCGGCCAAGCAGATAACTATGCACCGGGATATCCACAAGTCGCTTGCAACACTTGCTCCTCCCGATCCTGCGCACAATGTCTAGTCCCCTGGCACACAGACCTCACATGCGCCGAGTACACGGCCAGACACGTCGACGAGCAAATGAGCGACCCCGAGAAAACCACGCTCGAGTTGATGCAATCCAGAGACGCAAAAAGGTGTCCCAACTGCCATATGGTCATAGAGAAAGACGGTGGCTGTGATGGCGTTGTAAGAGACTCTCCACCCCCCTCCTTCCCAGACCAAATGCAAAGAACGGGCCTAACGCCAACATTCTATCTAGTTATGCGTAGGCTGCCGCAAGTTTTTCCATTGGGCTAGTGCTGCTTCGGCCGTGGCGGGCGCAAAGAAACCCGAAATGCCTTATATCCGCGATATACGTTACTGGGAGGATCTCAGTGGTGGCACTTGCGAGGCTGATGAAAGCATCTAAGACGTAGCGTAGCCTCGTTGTATAACAATTGCATGCGGTCAACAAAGCATCTTCTTGACCTGGATAGGTAACTGGCGCTGATTGATTGGGTGGAGAAGCATCTAGAGCTACCTTGGTGACATCGACCAGTGTCTGGCCGTGGAAGAAGTACGCATGGTACCCAATGACTTACGATATGATTATACAATAATCACGAAAAGCTTTCTCTTGGACATTCTGGAAAAGCTCGAGCGTGTGAAGCATCGATACACTGCGTGTACAAGTCATTCCCTGCCCCAGTCCAGCACATCACACTGAATACGATTGAACGCATCGCCTCGCTACTCGCACGATCAAAACCTCCAGCTTATGACTTTGTTAGGGCCTCAATGTCCCAATATTTGTAAATTTTGGTGGTACAGAGTTGCGAAATTACGTACAGAAACCCAGTCGGTCCCCAGGCTTGCTGTGCTGTTGCTAGAAAAGAAAAAGGACCCTTGCATGTAACCGTCCACACACACACCACCGCGCATTGTGGCCCAAAGCAAATTTGTTTATGCCCTTTCTCTCTGGGGGGAAACTCAAGCATCATTGCGTTCCCGCATATTATCACCACCTTATCCCGCTCTTGTCCCAAACGCCAGGCCATGCATTTTTAACACCAGCTGAAAACCAAAAAAAGAAAACTGAGTGGGTGGGGTGGAACATTATTGTAAAGTGGGCGACCAAACCTTTTTGTAGAGTTTTATTTTTGGCGTAAGTCAACACGCTCTTTTCCTACTTTTTTTTCTGGTTTTCTTGTTAGAGGCCTTGGACAGCACGGATACGCACCTGGTGCGACGTCGGATCGCCGGTCCGGGGGTATGTGTGCTCGTGCAGCAGATGGAGCCTGTCTGATCAGAAGGGCAACGTGCTAACAAGTTGGATCTTTGATGGCGCATAAGGATGCAGCCGGAACTGGAGAAGAAGCAAATGTCAGAAATCCCAAGGATGTCAAAGAAATGCTAGGGTAGAAGTATAGCGAACATGTGCAAGCTTAGCTGAAAGAGAGCCTATGCTGCCGTCGGAGTAGGAACTCCATTGGTAGCAAGCTCGGACTGTCGGCGCTTTGCTTCTGAATGTTCGCTGTCCTGTATTAGCACAATCGTCAGCATATTGGTGTAAGGTTACCCCCGAGGCGCGGGTGAGCGCTGGGAGAATTTGGTATGGCGTTCATCACGCACGTCGAGGCCAGTATCGGCGAAGTGGCGCTTAGCACTTTTCGCGTCCTTCTTCTTTTTGTCTTTGCTGGGTTTCTTCGGTCGCGTTTCTCCTGGCATGAAGACGTCATCAGGAAGTGCAGTGCTGTCTGGTCAGTAAATCGTCAAGAGGCGGCATCTAGAAACTTACTTGCGGGTATGAACCACCTTGACAGACATCAACTTTTCGTCGTACAGGTCCGAGTCTGTAATATAGCTCCTAAATTGACTGACAGGGTAAGAGATATCGAGCGACTTCGTAGCACCTGTGGGGATAGTCAGCATACTGGGCAACTAAGCATGCAAATCACCTGAACATACCTGGAGGCAGGGTAAGGCCAATGTAGAAAGTCGTAGTGTAAATGATATGAGTGTCGTCAGTGGGTGGCGTAGTGCCATCGGCGGGCAATTCGGAGGCTGGAATCATGTAATCAAGAGAGCCCTGAGTAACCTCGTGGAACTGGTCGTCTTTGCAACGATGGTATCGTTCAAAGTATTGAATGTACGGACGTGCAGTATCGATACCCGTCTGTCCATCGTCTATCCCCTTGACGATGTGGCGGATTTTTGACTGCACCAGCCCAGAGAATGTCGAGTTGGCCTCCTTGGTCCGGCTAGCAGCAACGACGCTCAAGTAATACTTGTGGTCCTTGGTGAAGAACGAGTGTCGCTCAAATAGCGCATCCCAATCTTTTGTTCCCGCAAATATGTGCTGTAGAATCTTGTCCGCTCGTCCAAACTCGTCCTTCATAATACGCAGGGTAGATGGCATGACGGTGTGTGTGGCGCACATGGAAGGAAATGCTGGCGTGATTATAGGCATGAGATGCGCTCTGTCACCGCCGTACACCTAGTAATATTAGCATAGAGGCCAGGCCGATTCTCGTGGATAGACGTACCTGCGGGTTCCATACCCGGAGACCCAAATCGCCCTCTTCAATGTGCTTCAGCATGACAGGTCTAGGCCAGGTCCACTTGTACATCAGGCTGAAGAACTTGGAAACAATGGTCGCACCGTTTGCCATGGGGTAGAGCTGGCAAATACGTGCGACCATAATAGCCCACGCGACACCACCAGGGTATCCAAAAACGGCTCCGTAGATGCCCCGGCGGTTGGACCACAGTTTTATGGCTCTCAGCGCATGTCGAAAGCTCACTTTCTGAGGCACCGCGTCCAAGAGCTCATTTGTAACTCGTGTGCCGTTGACGCTTCGCGTCGCCGACTCGGAGAGTCCCTCAAGGTCCTTCTTCTCAATCGTGTCCATGTTCCTGGGTATCGAGGTCCGCTTTGGTAGCGATGCAAACAGCAAATCTATGCTCACTTGCCGATACTCCATCTTGATGATGGGCACGAAGGCGTCTTCGACGGGCACGAACTCGTTGATGTCGTCGACGTTGGACATTTCTCGAAAGGTAGGCGGAAAGGTTTCAAAGAACTCATGGATGGTGACGAATTTGGGCGCAACAACGAGCGTGTCAATATCGGATGAGGGTCCATGAACACCGAGGGCATAACTGCCAAATGTGAAGATCTTGCCGCCTGCGGCATCGAGAACGGATTGCTGCACACCCTTTTGTTTACCGACGCGACGGATGAACTCTTCGACGACTTTTTGGATGTGTTCAATGACTTCTTCTCTGTGTCAAGTCAGGTCTGCGCAGCGCTGCCATGTGTCCAACAGTCCACGCACCTTCTACGGTTGCCCTCGGGCGTCTCAAACACGTTTTCCGCCTTGAGTGTTTCGATGAGCTTATCATTCAGCTTGATATCATGTTCGGTCGGCGCAGCCTCTGAAATGGCGCTAGTGACGCCAAATTGGCGGGATGGTTTCTTCTGGCCGTCCATGGTGGATGTGTTTGGCTGGGCGTGAGGAGTCGCGCAAGTCCGGAGGTGCTGCGGCAAGCTGACGGTAGGGAAATCGCAATCGGCGAGGCGCGGGCGCGTGTCGGGGCGTCTTGTCGTGAGAGAGGGCTAGGTTTTAGGGTGTTGGTGATGCAATCAGCGCTCCCACATGGCGACGCAACTTTGTGTGGTTTTGGGTCTGGCGATGTGAATGCGACATGAGAAGACCGGAATGCATCCGTCTTTGGGGCGAGGTACTGCCAAGCCACTAATGCGCCACTGTGGCTTGACCTAGCAACGGTTCGCTGCGCCTCAGCTGCCTCCAACCACTGACTCTCACCATGGCAAAACAACTGCCAGCGGGGGGATGGCGCAGTGGTGGAGCGCCTGGAAAATTTTCTGCTGTCTCACGTCAGCAAAGATCGAAGGTTCGAATCCTTCTCCCCTCACAACCATATTTATGGTCCACCCACATGAGAGAGTTACTCATTAAACTACCTATTCGACTGAGAGAGTTACTCGTTAAAACTTGAGAGGAAGACTCATTTTAAAGTGAAAGATCTGAGAGAGTTACTCACTAAAAAACTACTAGGCTACGAGCCTCACCTTCATTTAGATAACCCCCTACATTGTACCTACTCAATTTGTACCTAGATTAAATTCTAGCCTACGTAGTTACTTGCAGGCCTTAAGCCTGCACGTCTTATGTAGCCCTTTGGGCTGAGAAAGGACGTTAAACTACAATAATAATAATAATAATAATAATAA